AGAGAGGGATAACCGAAAGTGAGGGAGAGGGGAGTAGCACCAGCAATCGACTTGTGTATTTTTAAAAGAAAGAAAACCAGGCTCTTACTCCAGGTGGAATGACCACAAAGGGTGGTCAAGAAGACCCTGCTGTTCAGCTGGACCAACACAAATATACACAGACAGTTTGAACTTTGTAGCATCTTGTGATGCAATATCTGGGGGGTCTGGTAACCTCTGTTCCATATGGTCATTTGAGCCTTACAACTGTCCGGTTTTTTTTTTTTTGCGGGGCGGGGGGGGGGGGGGGGCATGTTTGGTTTGGGGGGGAAAGGGAGTGGAATGTAGACACAACTTGACAAGCAGGAAATAAAAGAGTCCCCCGCATGCCCCCTTACCCCTCCTTCCACCTGTGCTGCCTTCACTTCTGCCTCCCCACGTCTTCCCCTCCCCCCCTCTGCTGCTTTAATAAGAGATCCTGGCAAAACTGTGTGGCTGCCCTCATGGGCATGACTGCAAAGCCATGTGACAGACACCCTCTGTCTTTATCCAAACACAACCCACCCTCAATACGACCCTGTCGAACCAGAGTTTTAGGGTTTAGGGTTGTATCGAGGGTGGGTACATTCGCTATTAGGGTGCATTATGTTTGGCGGATGGTCAAGTGTGAATCACCCCAAAACTGGCTGCCTGTCTCGTGTTGGCAAACCGGCCGAGAGATTTGTCTTCTCAAGGGGGGAAAGGACTTGGATATGCGAAGTGGGATGCAATCGCTTCCTTTTTCTTGCGGAGTGAGCAAAACAGGCATTAGCTTAAACCACCATTCCCCCCGACGTCGAAGAATTATTGGCTTTCCGGGACCTTCGGAGGCCGGTAGCCTGGAAGAAGCGGAGGTCGGCGGCGGGGCGGCGGGAAAAAAGAAGAAGATAAAAGCGCAAACTTTGACGATCTTTTGCGTTCAGAAGAATAAACCAAAACATCTGAAAATTTCAGATCCGGTAGATGTGGTTGTGGTATTTTCGGCAAGAACATAAGAAAGAAAGAAAAAAAAAAAAGGTTTAGATGGTGAAATATGTGCACAGTGCCACCTATTTGGTGCATTTTCCTTTTTAGCCACTCTGTCACCTGCGGGCCAATGGAAAAGTACTCCAACTTCAGCGATTTTTCACGCTCAGAATAATGTCCAGGGAAAAAAAAAACAAAAAAACTTCAGGCAGTGAACTAATCATTGCACCGATTCGGCGCAAATTCCATTTTCGCCACTCTACCGGTTCTCCACACTATGGTACCTAATCATTGCGCCGATTCGGCGCAAATTCCATTTTTGCCACTCTACTGGTTCTCCACAGTGAGTCACACTATGGTACCGGTACCATAGTGTGGAGAACCGGTAGAGTGGCAAAACTGGAATTTGCGCCAAATTGGCGCAATGATTAGTTCACTGCATGAGTTTTTTTTTTTTTGGTGCCTCCTCATGAACTTGTACAACCGGTCCCCCAAAATATTTAGTGGTGGGGGAGAGATGGTTAATGGAAGACCAAAAATTCGGTGTTTTTCGGCGCACCCCCACAAGCAATGTCATAAAAAATTTAGCGAACAAACAATGCAGGCTCATAATACAAACATCAAAAAAACAAACAGGCAAAAAAAAATGAAAAAAACAACAACTAAAAAGCACTATAAAACTCTATTCGGAGTAGCTTTCGGAGTTCGCCAATTTGTTTTCCGAATTCGGTGTTTTTGCCAACTTTTTTGTTAGTTGTCCAAATGCATCAAAAGTTCGAAACTGAATACAGATATACCCTAAAGCACATACATATCACACAAAAAAAGAATCAACAAAAAAGACACCAATTCGGGGAAATATGGCAGTTTTGGTGAAAAATTCGGCGAAAATGACACCACCTATTAACCAGCCAAAAAAAGAAGTTATTCAGCGCGTTACTTCTTTTGGCTGGCGCCGCCAGCCGTTTTGCTCCGGCAGGCCAACCCCCAAAACTTGCAGCGCATATATACTCCCTCCTTTCCCTGTGACCTTGTTTTCTCTGGGTCCCCTTGTTGGTGTGGTCTTCTCGTTGTGATTTGGTGCCCTCCATCTTTGCATTATCTTAGGATACGTTTTGGTCCTTGTCGCCAACAGCATTTGCTCTCCAGCTGAGGAGTACACAACGAGCCCCGAAACTTGCGGTGCATATACTAGCGCGCCAGAGAAAACATTCGCTGGAAATTTGTGGGAAACGTACAGGTGGTTTAAAATTCAATTGGTCACAAAGACCCAAATGTGAAGTCCCTTCTGAAGAAAATCTGAAACCTCATTCTCATGGGGGTGTAGGGAACTTTCGGCCAGGAGGATGTTATAAAAATGATACCATGCATGCAACCTCCGGTGAGCCTAGCCTAGCCTCGCCTCGCCATTAGAGTTAAAAACAATATGCGCTTGGTTTCGACATTGAAAAGCGAAAACGTCTAAGCCTACTTGCACAAACTTGTCATCCCCTCTGGGAAGGCTAGACACGCCTCCGCATCCTACGACAAGAAATCAGATTAAACAACCAGTACTTGGCCTGGCTATCGGCCACGGAAAAAAAAAAAAGAATAGAAACGTTTCTAGTCGGATGAATTTGGCCCCTCCTGTAGTAGCCCGTACGTTTCCTAAAATCATGGCGCGTTACCGGGCACAACTCGAGGGAAGTACTGGTGATTTAAACAACCAGTCCTCCGGCTGCAATGAAACTGACGTATGCTCGTGAGTCCGCTAAGTGCGGAGGGGCTGCGGGAGTGGTCGGCGGGGCGAGAACCGACCGGGGGGTTTGGTTGGTGTCACGCATAAGAAAACTTTTGGGTGTGCCTACTTCGGTGATTTGTCGTGCTCAGATGTTTTACTCAAACAATTCTGAATGACAATCTTTTTAGGGGCCAAAGAAATAAAAATCTGAGGTGGCAAAATAAATCATGGAGGCAAGTGCTCGCAGTTCTTTGAAAAATAATCAAAATTTTCATTTTTTTCGCCATCATTTTTCTCTCTGCTGCTACTGCTAGGCTGAGTAGGCTCCAAACATTTATTGTCAGATTGTGTTTCCCAGTCCCCCAAATCTGAAGGCACCAGGTCCAGGTGGAATGGCGGCTTAAACTTTAAACCACCAATACACCCGGGGCTGGCGCTGCGGCACTAAACATCCACCAGTTTTTACGAACCGCCAGTGGCACACTTAGTAATCCTGGAAGGTCGAGGTTCCAAGGGTTCAGTTGTTCGCCGATGAAAGTGGTACACTCATCATTGCCGTGTGACACGAGTAATCTCTGACCTTAATACAGTGATAAGGTCAGAGATTGCTCGTCTCCCTCACCTCAAAATAAGGTCAGAGATTACTCGTCTGACACGGTATCTGAGACGTCGTAATTTTTTTTTTCCGGAGGCTTGCGGCTACTGGACCAACCACTACATGCTTTTCATTTTTGGCCATAAGTGTGGCCCAAGCCTCCAAAATTTTTGTAGGCGATGAAATGAAATCTCCAGAAAGCGGGGGGCCATCATCTGGCGCCTGGTTAAAAGCCCAAACATTATACTAAACTGGTTTCACGGCTTTCGCCATTTGCCCGCTATATAACGGTGGGGAGTCTCAAGGTGGCATTTTATATCGACTTTACTGGGCCATAGTGCTTTTCATGAAATGGCCCTGGCTGACACTGCCTTGTTCAAGCAAGGGGCCCAAGAGCATTTGTAAGGGACGGGCCCAAAAACATTTGGAAGGGACACCGGGCGTGTTCCCCGGCTTGTGTTATAAAAAAAAACAAAAAGAAAAAAAAGCAGCTGTTTCTCCAGGCGACTGGGCACGGACTTGTGCCCGGATTCATGCAACCGGGCATCACGCCCAGGCAGCGTCAAGGCCCAGTGCATATATATATATATATATATATATATATATATATATATATATATATATATCGTCAAATAGAACTGCCCGGTAAACCGTAGTAGGCAGAGAGGAAGAAGAGGACAACAAACGAGGGGCTGTGACAAACTGTATATATATATATATATATATATATATATATATATATATATATATATATATATCGTCACAAACAGAACTGCCCGGTAAACCGTAGGCAGAGAGGGAGAAGAGGAGAACAAACGAGGGGCTGTGATATATATATATATATATCGTCAAATAGAACTGCCCGGTAAACCGTAGGCAATATATATATATAAGCTGGGAAAGAAAATGTGTTGTGTAGATTTGCGAAGTAAACATTCATTTAGAAACCATCTCATCTCACCAATGGCTGGCCGATGCAGCAACCACCGTCTGTCTGGAACCTGGCCTTTACAACAAACTGGGCTTCAGAAAAGGAAAAAAAAAACTAAAAAACTAAAAATAGACCATTTCTCAAATTATGCATTGCGTGGCATGCTTGTGCAGGGGCATGCTAATCTTTTTTGTATCTTTTTTTTTTTTAATAATTAAAACGAGAACAACCCGAGTTGATGCTAGCGGGGCCGGTAGGAGCAGGAACCACTAGTAGCACTCCCGGGGAGGCTCCATCTATTGGTGGGGACCAGCACCTGCAGGAAAGGGGGTCCCCAGTGACCCTGAACATTGTGATTGTATATGTTTAAACAGACTAGTGGCTGGAACGACTATTAGCTGCAGGATCCACCTACGGAGAAGAGATTTGGACGAATTCCCCCTAATGGACGTCCCAAAGGATGACATATGCATGAGAGGCCCAACTTCTTCTTCTCCTTTTTCTTTTTTTGTTCTGGATGGGCCCGACTCTCTTTGTTGCATTTGCCATAAAGTTGCGAAGAGAGAGAATGGCATGTCATTTGGCTGTGTCTGTGCTTGACGGCTATCAGTTTGCGGCCGTCTGAGAGACAGAACAAGCATTACCAATTAAAATCATGTCTACATTCAACGACGGTTAATCATCTGCATGGGTGACATATTCCACAAACTGCTCATTCCAGTTCCTCAATATTTGCCAGAGGACATACAAAGACAGCGGCAGCAGCACAAAGATTCGGCATGCATGCGCAACCTCGGTTAGAAGTGGCAAAGGAAGACGAGGCACATATTGAATGCACCAAAAATCGTTTATTCAATAAGTAAGCGAGGTTATGGGAGAGTGTTTGTAAGTCGAAGTTTGCTAGATGAAGCAGTTGAATTCTGCACCCTAGACGGTGAAAGTCCAGTAGTCGAAAGCAACACAAGCTTTAGCTCTAAAAATTCAATGTACCCCGGTCTAGCTGTTAATATCAGTATATATATCGTCAAATATATATATATCGTCACAAACAGAACTGCCCGGTAAACCGTAGGCAGAGAGAGAGAAGAGGACAACAAACGAGGGGCTGTGACAAACTGTTTCGTCGGAGTTTCACCGACTCATCAGGAGGCTGATATATATATATATATATATATATATATATATATATATATATATATATATAATATATATATATATATCACCCCTCCTTACAGCTAGACTGAGGTACACAAAAAAAAAAAACAAAAAAAAAACAAAACATATATCGTCACAAACAGAACTGCCCGGTAAACCGTAGGCACAGAGAGAGAAGTCAAACAGAGCTGCCCAGTAAACCGTAGGCAGAGAGGGACAAAAGGGGAGAAGAGGAAACAAACGAGAGGGGCTGTGAAAAACTGTTTCGTTGGAGTTTCACCGACTCATCAGGTGGCTGGACATAAAAAACAAGAAAAAATCAATTCATATTTTATCTTCTTCCTTATAACTCCCCCTGTTCAGAACCTCTTGCGTACAAGGCCGCCCACGTGGAAGTAGGTTGAGCGGCGGCTGCCCCCACCCCCGTGTCTCATATCGACCCACCTGTTCAAAACCTCTTGCGTACAAGGCCGCCCACGTGGATGTAGGTTGAGCGGCGGCTGCCCCCACCCCCGTGTCTCATATCGACCCACTTGCATACAGCCAAAAGGCAAAGAGGCAAAGAAAGAGGAAGGGAACAGCCAATATAACAAAACAGGGGAAACCAAACAAAGACAAATCCTAGATGACAAGTCCCACATGCAAGCACCTGCCCCCTCCGCCACAGGCCAAACGACGGGACAAGACCAACCAGGATATCAAAACACCCTTATCTATCTATCTATATATATCGTCACGAACAGAACTGCCCGGTAAACCGTAGGCAGAGAGGGAGAAGAGGACAACAAACGAGGGGCTGTGATATACGGTTTACCGGGCAGTTCTGTTTGTGACGATATATATATATATATATATATATATACAGGGTTACCTGACCGAACGTTCGGGGGCCCCCGGGCTGGCCCCCGAACGTTCGGGCGTTTGGGGTCCCGTTCGGGGGCCGAACACCTCCAGGTTCGGTCCCCGCCAAAAAAGTTTTCGGGGCCTAAAAATAAGTTTTTTTTTCTGAATTGTTTTTTGTGAGTTCTCTATGATGTAACCTACACGCCTATAAATTTTGAAGCCATTCTGCTAAGCCAAAAAAACATTAAAAATCGTCAAAGATGGGTGTCAAAACGTGCTCGCCCACTCACTATCTTGTTTTTTTTTCACTTTTAACTTTTTCTTTTCACTTTATTTCGGGGCCTAAAACTTTTATTATTTTTTGAAAAATTTTTAACGAGTCATTGATTATGTAGACTGACATATCTGTAAATTTTCAGGGCATTTGTCAATGCCAAAAAAGACGACATATCTGTAAATTTTCAGGACATATCTGGTGTGGGTGAGTGATAGTCTGCTTTGATTTTCGTCACAGGTATCTTGAGGGCAGTGGTTGGTGGTCCCCACCACCTCAGAGGGGTATCAGTTGTCGGGCAGTCTTTGATGCTTGCTTAACCACAACCGGGGTTAACGTGGATTGTCACTTACAGTGTAATCAGTTAGGGGATTCTGCAGACTGTTGAGGTTTCAGCCTCCTGACGAGTCGGTGAAACTCCGACGAAACAGTTTGCCACAGCCCCCCCTCGTTTGTTGTTCTCTTCTCCCTCTGTGCCTCCTGTTTACCGGGGAGCTCTGTTTGTTTGACGATATATAGTACTATTTACTCGTAGTATGTACTCTATAAATATTGCAGAGAAACAAATTAATTCATTACTGCAATGCGTGCACTTGCTTGAGACGGCTAGCATGTGCCATCGACATCAGATAGACGCACACTTCCACGGGCTACCATTATGACTGGCGATACACGTCCGATACACCGATATCGCAAAATCTCCGACTCGTGAACAATGCAGACATTGGAGCTATTCAGAAAGGGGGAAAGAGGCGGGAGCAGGGAGTAGAGGAGGAGGAGGAGGAGGAGGAGGAGGAGGAGGAGGAGGAGGAGGAAAAGGAAAGGGAAGAGAGGGCTGAGGGAAAAAAACACGAGGAAGGGAAGGAAAGGATGGGAAAGAGAGGAGGAGAAAGAATAGCACATTCAGAGAAGCAAGAGGTGGGCAAGTCAAGGATTTGAGTGTACGATACTTCCCAATATCGTGAGTTCTTTTCTGTATTTCACTATTTCTTTCTTTCTTTCTTTCTTTTTTTTTTTTGATCCGCACAAATTTCCACTGCAAAACACTTGTCAGCCTAGCAGGTGAGAAAACAGAAAGCGGACTCCAAGCTCGCTGAAGATCAATATGTCATAATGCTGCTGTTGCCCGCCGAATACCCATAATTTCTACTCTAACAATTGCGCACTATTTCCTCCTAAACATCCTGCATTCCCTGACAACACTATGCTTCTCTCTCTCTCTCTCTCTCTCTCTCTCTCTCTCTCTCTCTCTCTCTCTCTCTGTGCATCTATCTTGCTACCGTCTTCTTTTCTACCATTGACGATGATCTTGTTGAGCTTGTCTTTGGCCTCTTGGCTCACAGGATCAGAATCAGAGTCATCAGACAGAATTTTGAATCGCGCCTCATTCACGTGCCTCTGAACAGCAGTGGGTATATGCAACAACAACCATCGCTCCATCCCTGCATCAAAATTTCAAAATTTCAAAATTTCAAAATTTCAAAATTTCAAAATTTCAAACGGATAATGAAAGAAATAAGTAGGTCAGGACTGAGAAGTAAGCAACGCCTACTTATACAAAGGATGTCCCAAGCCACTCTGTCGCACTGTGGCACCAATCCGCCGCACACTATCTTAAGCCCCCAAAGTCAAACTGGTCTGCCAGGACAAAAAAAAAAGGAAAAAAAGACTGGTCTTCAGGGCAGCAGGGAATGACAGTACGGAAGGAAGCAAGCTAATTATTGGACAGGTTAAACATAAAAAAAGGAAAAAAAGAAAAAAAGAAAAAAAAGATGCGGCAATGTGAAGAGCACAAATTTCCAATGGGCAGTTCCCGAGCAAGTTTATGGTGGTCCTCATTTTCGTTCTCAGTTGTGAAAATTCAAAATTGGATATTAAAAAAAGAGTGAAAAAATTATGACAAAAAGAACCACAACATGCACACTGTCTCCTTACTGTCGTGTTTTTTTCAATTGACTTTTTTCAAGTTTTTTCAAGTTTTTTCTTTGAGGTTTTTGAAAACTAAGAAAGTAACAAAAAAAAAAAAAAAAA